TGAAGGATAAGGGAAGCTCTGCAGAGGGATCTGTTATGGGAACAGGCATCCCAGGAAATGGTGATATGGATTAGTGGTGGCTTTGGCAGTCCTGGGGTAATGGTTGGACTTGGTCTTAAAGGTCTTTTCTAACCTAGTTGATTCTATGATTCTGTGACTATCCTGACCACCATGAAATCCCGGCAGGAGAAGTTTCTCTTAACCAGGAGTAAAATTACAACCGTCTAGAAACTGAAGAGTAATTGATGTGATCTAAGCAGACCAGCCCTACAAAACCTGCACATCACTGCCTCTGAGAACATGAGAGAGAAATATTCCATAAAGGGGTCACTCCAGACTCCGTTTTTACTCACTATTTCAAAGTCACTTGACAATAATCAGAAAAGGCATAGAAATCAACCACTGAAAATACCAACTAGCTTTTACTTACTCTAATCACCACCCCACAACCAATGCAGAATTTTGTGATGTCTTGTTATACCCTCGTTTTACAAGACTGAAATAATGCGGTTTCATCTACCACCCCAGGGAGACTGTTCCATCATTTACTAAATGTCAGCATGATGAGCTGGCTTGGACATTTGCTGAATGTTTCTGACAAGCAGCAAATAGTAAAAAAGAGAAGCAATAACTGTAAAATATGAACTTCTGGATGCAATAACGGCTGGTTTAAAGGGAAATCACATAGGCTATATGATATGAAGGTACTGATCCAGAGAGCTTCTATAGTTAGGAAACAAGGGATCGTCTCCTGATCCACACAAGACCTCATAAAGTATTACAGTATCACAGTATGCTAGAGATTGGAAGGGACCTCAAAAGATCATCCAGTCCAATCCCCCTGCCAGAGCAGGAACACCTAGATAAGGTTACACAGGAATGTGTCCAGGCGGGTTTTGAATGTCTTCAGAGAAGGAGACTCCACAGCCTCCCTGGGCAGCCTGTTCCAGTGTTCTGTCACCCCCACTGAGAAGAAGTTTCTTCTCAGGTTTAAGTGGAACCTCTTGTGTTCCACTTTGTACCCATTGCCCCTTGTCCTATCACTGTTTGCCACTGAGAAGAGCCTGGCTCCATCCTCGTGACACTCCCCCTTTATATATTTATATACACTAATAAGGTCACCCCTCAATCTCCTCTTCTCCAAACTATAGAGACCCAGCTCCCTCAGTCTTTCCTCATAAGGGAGATGCTCCACTCCCTTAATCATCTTAGTTGCCCTGCGCTGGATTCTCTCCAGCAGGTCCCTGTCCTTCTTGAACTGAGGGGCCCAGAACTGGACACAATATTCCAGATGTGAAATTTTGGGACTGGTTTGAAGCACTTCAACTCCAATAAATTATTCTACCGATCATCTGGAAAATTTTCTCAGCACAAGAATTGTTTTTTGCACAAAAACACTCCAAGTGCGGGGTTAGAAATAAGGGAAGCTGTGACAACTCAGGGCATCTGTGAAAAGCCCAGTGAATGCTGGGGACAGTCCTTGAATCTCCAAAATCCATCCAGGGTGAGGGACCTCTACTTTGGTGCACTTTGCCTCCACATTGTCCTAAATACAAAGGAGGACACAGGACGTTCCTGAATCATAGAATGGTTTGAGTTGGAAGAAACCTTAAAGCTCATCCAGTTCCAAGCTAGTACATGCTGCTGCTGAAGGATCCCAACTCCTTTAGCTCAGGTTCTGATGTACAAGGGAATACTGTGAGTAGATACTGGAGAAGATAAACCAAGTTATCCTGCAATTGTCTCATTGGCTACTAATGGCAAAGAAACTTGAGTCCAACAGGCCATGCAAGAAACATAAGAGAAAGGTATCCTGGGACATTCAGCTGGGACCAGTCCTTCATCTGAAAGCTGAATAAGGGAGAAAAGCAAGCACCACCACCACATCCTCTGTGAATATTTTAAAAAGTGAGCCTCTTAGAAGATCCTTCTGGACAGCCACAAGCATCTAATATTTTCCATGCTGGATTTTAAAAATAGGCATTTCCAAGTAGAAGCAGATCTGAAGAACTGCAAAAAATATTTCAAGGAGGACAAAGCTTGAAATGACTGATTTTGGTTTGTGCAATGTCCCAGCAATATCTGAAGACTTAATATTGAGAATATTATATGGTATAATGCACACTGATGGATCTGGATAAACTTATCTATTTACAAGTGGTAACTTGTGATAAGCTTAAGAATTAAAAATGACTCACAGCAGTGCAGTTTGTCCCAAAATGAGTTTATTTCTTTCACAAGAAATGCACAAGGAGATGGGAAACTGCCCTGGCCACGTATATAGAAAAGGATAAGAGGACTAGACTCATAAGCTAAACAAAGCCAAATTCCACGGTGATTTGGATTCGAGTAAAGTGGTTTGAGTTGCTGAGGCTAAGTGACAGACACTGTGACTATTAAACCCCTGACTTGTAACAAACAGATAATTTTAGTTCATGCTGTTCTTTCTGTTGGTCAAGGCTCAGGAAGTGAAGGTGAGACTTGCACATCGGCTCTGGCTCCCAGGTTCCTGTGTTTCTGAAGCTGAACCTTGTGCCTGTACAGTCTGTCTCACTCATTATTAACCTGATGGTTGGTGGGTGCTTTGGTCACTGGACCAACTCACCAGTGTATAGCTTGTGAACAAGTGGAGCAGCACTGCTCAAACCTGTGACACTTTCACACGTCTTCTTGCCCAACCAGGTATGTCCCCAGAATGTGGCTGGGGTTGTGACCTCCCACCAGAAAATAGAAGAGGTCTCTGTATGCATTAACTCTGGGCCAAGACATCTGTATGATGAAGTAGCTGAAGCAACAGAAGCTACTTCAGTCATAGGATGTCATCACCCTGCAAAACACAGATCCCTGTTTTGGGGTTTTTTTTTTTTGCTGGAAATCTTTCTGTGAAATTTGTGTTTCTGGGAGAAAAAATAACAAGAAAAAAGCAAAACAAAACAAAGGAAGAAGAGAAAAGGAGGTGAAGAAGTACCAGTCTGAGATGTACTGATCACATGGCTTAAGGAACACTGAAAGAAAGCAAAGGGAAGTGTATATGCCTGTGTGCTTTCGAGTTAACTGCTTTCTGAAAAGGACCTCGAATACATGGTATGGTCTGCATTATTTTTAACCTTGTGTCAGGATTCACTGTACATATTTTAAATAAACAGGCTACACCACGTATTTCTGCTATGATCAATTCAGCTGGCATAACTTTCTAGCAGAAAGAGCATGCAGGGTCATAAGCTTTTCCTAGCTACTTAAGGATAAAAAGTGGTAACATGACTTTAAGGACATGTCATTAACAGCCCACTACTAGAAGCCCCAAGGCTGCAGGCAGATCCTACTCTGCTTCAGGCTGTACAAACCCAGCAGAGGTGGCCTTGAACGGCTTAAATTTGCACACAGGTTTGCCAGAACATGACAGTGAATTCTCTACCTCCAGCTCAACTATTTTTCTGCTAAATGCTTAAGTCACGCTGTCTCCAATAAACTAAAATGAACAATGGTTTTCCCTGCTTGCTGCTCACATCTTTAAAATATCAGTGGGCAGTTTTCATATTTTCCTGGGCTTCAACCCTTAGTCATCTCTCTGCTATGTGTTAAATGCATTGCTCTTTTTTATCTACTTTCATGAGTCAACCCCTCCAGTCACTTTTCCATTCCTCTCTCCTCTGAGCTCCTACCAGTATTTTTCTGGTATGGAAGCATCCAGTGCAGTTTTCCGTTCTGGGTTCAGATTTCTCACCCTTGTATCAGAAACTAGCTGGGCTTTGAAGACTGGTCTAACGCTTGGTATGTGGGTGGGATCCAGACATATGAGGCTTCAAATACTGGCTCACACGCTATGTTGCCTCAAACAGGGAATTTAAGGTACTCTGGGTCTAAAGATATCTCCATCCTGATACAGCAAAGGGCAAATCATAATGCCTTGCTTGAACCAGATTCACTGCCTGTCTCTTTGCTACCCGAGACTGTGTTCAGGACTAGACTTCACCTTGGTTCCAAAGCTTCAATGCAGTCAGCATTTCAGTAGTGGAGTGATCCCCTATTTTTGTGATTTGGGCAGGCTCATGGAGTGAATCATGGTCACATTCAGGCAGCGTAGACCTGAGACATGCATGTACAACGTGGACTCCTTTAATGCAAAGTGCAGCAGAGCTACCAGCAATACAGATGCAAGGTCATGGGGCATGCTTAACATCCTCTGAAGCTAGCTCTGCACATCACAAAATGGACACAGCCTCTGTTTCCCAGCTATAAAATAAGAACACACAATCCTTCTCCATATCATAAGTCTGTCATTTGGATAAAGTGTGCTGCTAACTCAGAGCTGTCTAAAAACTATTGACATGAAAGTCAAACCTGTGCCCACACCTGCTATTTCTGACCCATCCATCACTCCTTGCTGCCAGGACAAAGGAAAGGCTCAACCCATCTGAGCCCCCAAAATGACTGGACATGGGAGGTGGTATCTTTCCTAGCTTTCTTGTATAGTTAGACTGTGCTCAGGCATCTCTTAATTAAGCTGGAAAGGCTAGCAAGCTGATTGATAGATTTGAATTGACATGCTGGTGAAGTGCCTGTGACATCCCCAGAGGGCGCATTAAATAAACCAAATAGACTAAGGATTCAGTAAGCTAATGAAGAGGGAAATTAGAAAGATATGAGGAAGATGGAAGACATGAGGGTGAAGGAGAAAGAAGAATATGGGAAGACAGGGTAAAAAAGAAAAACAGATGGATAAAAGTAAGTAGGAAGGAGGAAAAGAGAGGGGCCGAGAGGAGGTGAGAGGGAAATACACAAAGACAGTGAACAGGATTAAGTGCGGGGGAAAGGAAGAAAAGACCATGCAAGATCCTGAGGATTCTCCAAAGCCATGCTGGGACCATCTGTGCTGCAGCCTGGAGTCCAAATTGTTCAATCTCTTCTTCCACCTAGTTGCATTAACTGCTTAGCAAGGTCATAACCCCCAGCAGGACTCACCTGTCCCCTCTGCCCACTCATGCCCTAAGGTGCCTTACCTGCTCATGGTGCTCGATGCCCATGCTGATAGTGTTCACTAGGATTGCAATCATGATCCCACGGTTGAAGTACTTGCTGTCCACAATCACTCGAAGCTTGATCCTCACTTCTCGCCACATATCACTGCAGAGCTTCAGCCGTCCACCTTCTTCCACCTCCTCCTCCTCCTTCTCCAGCACCGAGGCACCCTGGTCCTCTCTGCTGCCCTCTCCCTCTTCTTTGCTGGCTCCTCCGTCCTCCTGCTCTGAGTCAGTGTTATCCAGGACAGAGAGCCTTCGGGATGCTTCATGCTCCACCCTATGGCATCGGGGGCAGTTGGTGGGATCAGAGGTTGCTGTCACAGCAATGGGCTGGACAAAGCCCTGAGGAGGGCAGTCAAGAGAGTTGTGCTGCTGGCAAAGCCCTGGGGAGAAAAATGAACATGCTTAAAGGAGGAGGCTTTGAAAAAGACACTGAAACTGGGCACATGTTTGACTTTTGGGTATTTAGACAGGGTAACTGGGCTTTTTAGTGGTAAAGACGATTAAGCACTGGCACATCATCTCAAGGCTAGCAATAAAAGCCATTGCCGTTACAGGCTTTACACTGGCTGTGTCACCAACAGGCATGGTACTGTTCAGCTGCCAGTGATTAGGCTCAATAGGGGTTTGCATCCATCAGGGGAGGAACTGTTTTGGCTGATGCAGGAGTCACAGCTTGAGACTCAGTAGCTTGTGTTACATGGGAACTGATGGAAAAACAATCACGAGGGCTGATTTTTGGCCTGAACTGCTACAAGTGGGGTCCAAGAACTTGCATGCTGAGCTGAACTCTCTAAATTAGAGAAGCTACATTAGCAAAGTATCTCAAGAAGCAAGAAAAGGTAGCTCAAGAACACTTCCTCCTGATAGTCAATGTGCTCTGAGTCAGAACAGATCTCCTGACTTTACTGAGAAAGCTAAGTTTGTGTTCCTCAGCCCTCCAAGTTGGGCCTGGAACATTAAATAGATATGAATCAATTAATTCATTAACTTAGTGCATGAAGGCTGCAGAAACTTTTCTCCCAGCAAGTAAAGAAAATGAAAGACTGAATATGCAAGACCAGCTGAAGGAAAATACGCTTTTTGCTTGTTAGTGGGAGCATAACTTAGGAAAGGCATTGGAAGCAGTTGATACTAACTCTATAAACCCATTTTTACTGTTACTTTTCAGGCCAGTAATCCAATTTACATGGTATCTCATATCTAATTTTACACAACAGTATGTGCTCCCATCAAGAGAAATTGTCTCATTGTCCTTGCCTAAGTTCTTCAGCATTGCTCCCTTGGTTCAGGAGACACCCGTTACAATTCTACTCCCTTTGTCTCTCTCTTATAGCACAGCAACTCACTTTTGGCAGAGAACTTTGGGGGATCTGCTATGTCACCAAGTCAAATCCTTAGTCCCACTTTGTCATATCACTGTAACACTTCTCTCTCCCAAACTGCTGTCCTTACCCTGCTATATACCAGACCTGGAGCCCTTTACTAGACTCCGGGTTTTAGACCTGGCTTTCTCATGTTTGCTGGAGACCCCTGTTTCATTCCCATTCTCACTGTTCATCCCCACCTTGCAAGTCTAGTGCACTGGCCATGGCCCCATGCTCACTGTGGCCAATGTTAATTCTAATTCTGTGCTTTGTGGGCACAGGTCCTTTGGCAGCCTGGCACATAGAGATGATCCCAGTTACGCTCACGTTTCTGCTACTGGCATTTCCATCTTTACACATGCAATCCTTACTGTAGTGCCTCTGGCTTTTCCTGTTCATGCCTAGCTTGGCACTGCTTGGCTGCACATGGCCCTGGCGCCGGCTCTGTATGCTGTTATACAGCCCAAGGGTGCGGCGTTTGGCTTTGCGCATGATGTGGCAGATGTATTGGAAGATCTCCTCATAGCAGTCTCCTGGCTCCATGTAGCTGGCAACAGTGCTGGAGGAGAGATACCGGGCCCTCTGTTCCTGCATCAGCTGGTGCTCCCGCTGCTTGGTCTCTGAGAACTGTGTGGCAATGACCACCAGGCACAAATTGATCATGAAGAAGGAGCCCACCTAGTAGTAAAGGATAAGAAGGAAAAATCAATGCCAGCATGAGGAAGAACATGCAGGAGGGGGAATGTAAGAGGAGAGAGGAGTGGAAAGTGACTGCAGGCAGATCAGTCTGTGTATGGAGATAGGATTCCAGGGAAAGCCAGGGCTAGCTGAGCTTGTTTTTTGAAAACTCACTCGGATTTCCATGCAGAATTGAGAGCTCTGAATTGAAATTCAGGAAACGCAAGCTTGGCGTTTGGCTCTTTTGGCAGGTTTGGGACCTTTAGCAAGCCCCTTAGAAGCACTTTTATATCCCTCTTTTATATTTGTTGGTGCTGAAAGATCTGGAGGTAACAATCTCAGTGTTACATATTATGAAATCACAGATAAATCTCCACTAGATCTATCTGCTACACTTAGGATAAAACCTGGGCTTCAATATGAAGAGAATTTCATACATAAAAGGGCTGTAACTACTTTCAAAATAATTTTCAAAGCTATGATGCCCTGATTGATGCCTACTCCCCACAGAGCTGTAAGTGGCGATATGGCATTGATAAAACGCAGAGTTTGATCTCTGAACAAGGACCACTTGTCTGCTCTCCTTGGAAATGGACTCTGTGGGGTGGCCCCTGGGAGCAGAGGAAGAACCAGCTCAAGATTTCTGCTTCTGATGCACCAGGGATCCTTCCTGCTAAGGGATATCCTCACGCTATGTTCCTCCTGTACGAACTCACACAGGACCCAGTCTCACCTCCCTGTCTCTCCTTTTCAAGCTAACAGCTCTGATACAGAGATGGATCCATCCTGACCTTATGCGCATGTGTCCTTCCCCACATAACCCTACCAGCAAAGGTGAGAGGACAAGCAAAGTTGGTGATAACCTGACCCTTGTGCATGGGAAAAGCAGAGCTTTTATTCAGCAAGTACCCCAGCTTGTTTTATCTACCCAAGCAGCCTTCCCCTCAGTGGACAGCTCTTGCTGCTGCCCATACCAGCTTGCCCCCTTGGTTGTCCCTTTCTCTTGCACACAGGTGGCTAGAAGCTGTGTCCAGAAGCTTCATACAGTGGTTCTCAGTCTTTCAAAGGGGAGGTGTCCCTGCTATCATTTGAATAAGCCTTTGAAACATGAAGCTCTTCCCAGGCAGATTCAATATAAGGACAATAAACCATCTCAAAATAAAGGGCTGGGTTGGGTTTTTTTCTCCTCTTCTTTGAACACTTCAAAGCTGTTCAGATTCTGCTTCCCTTCATCACTGAACTCTTCCCTGTTCTCCTGCCCGTATTTCAGCCTATTTTCCCTTCAGCTTTTGTATGTGGCCTTGAAAATTAAAATGATGCCTCATTCAGTTTCCTTCCCTTTCTCCCAAGATTTTCGCTAGTCCATAACATCTTGCGTGTTTTCACTGATAAGAGTATGACTGAGAATCCAAATTCTCTGATGCGCTCTCCTGCCCTCTTCCCCCTCAGCTTGCCCGTTCAGTTACGTCCCCAGCTTTCCCTGCGTGAGGCAGGGCTGGGAGCTGGACACCAGCTACACACGCATTTCTGGAACATTTAGTTGTGACACTGCCCGGTACTTTGCAACTTCCAACAACTCCACAATCAACAAGTGATTGGGACTTGCAACACCTTTTCTTTAGGCTACCTGCAAAGGAGCTGACAGTAACAAGATGCCCTCAGCAGGGTCACACTGCCAGCCTGGGCTTGGATCTGGAGGTGTGTTCAGGTTTAACATCACCAAGCCCTGTCCTCACAGGCACCATTTGTTGTGATCTCCCACAAGGTGAGCAAAAAGGAGTGAGAGGATTGGACATGGCAACTAAACACAATCCTTAAAATTCTTAGCTAAGAACATCAAACACATGAGCTTGTTTAAACCTGAAGACAACAGACAAGTCCATAAACTTCCAGGCTCTGTGATAGGGCAAGGGGTAAAGGGTTAAAACTTAAACAGGGGAAGTTTAGATTGGATATAAGGAGAAAATTCTTTCCTGTTAGGGTGGTGAGGCACTGGAATAGGTTGCCCAAGGGGGTTGTGAATGCTCCATCCCTGGCAGTGTTCAAGGCCAGGTTGGACAAGGCCTTGGGTGATACGGTTTAGAGCGAGATGTCCCTGCCCATGGCAGGGGGGTTGGAACTTGATGATCTTAAGGTCCTTTCCAACCCTAACTATTCTATGATTCTATGATTCTGTGTAGCTGGACACTGCACCCCAGCTAGCAGAAGAACAAGAAAGTTTCCAGACGGCTTGTAACTGAGTGATCCATCTCAGCTAGCTAAACAGGGAGATCAAAAGTGTCTGACATGAGTCAGACAAAGCATATGACAAAGGCAGAAGGAGAGAGAGCCCCAACACAGGAGTCCTGTTCAGCCCTGAGACTGAGATCAACTGAGCAGATCCTGGCCTTGTTCACCCCGAGGTTCAATCCCTGACTCTGCAATTTTGAATCAAACCTGACTGGTGCTGGAGATACTGACTAATTTGCCTGTTATTTTTAGTTTGCTTATGCCTGGATATCCAGCTTGTCTTCTGAAACCTGCATGTGTCAGCACAGAGCACTCCAAGAAGGCCACTGAGTGCTGCAACGTACATGCCAGCCTGAGAGCTCAGAAGAGTTTTCTCTAGTCCAAGAGCCACACCAATGGCCAAGTAACTGGAGGAGTGACAAAGAGACAGCTGGATCTCAAGCAGGAAGATCCAAATGAAACCCTGAGAAGTGAAAGCAGTCCTTCTTTCATGTTAGCTCCATGATCTCTTGCAGAGCAAGAACCTATCTGCAATTTGCTGAATATGTAAAATGCTTTTACCAAGTTGTTCTGCAAGGGCACTCTGAATGCCAGGGTCAGCCAGCACTCCTCCCCTTGGTGGAGCACGTCTGTGCAGGAGTCCTTACTGTGCTAGGAATATATCCAGGTGGTGGAGCCTTCTTCCTGCCAGATGAGCAGCAGCAGGTAGTGCCTTTATGTAGGTGTTTGAAGATATATCTGGGAGGGAATAAGAAGTCACGGATGAAAGCTTAGCTCTAAAGTAGTTGCTGTAGAGATCCATTCCCAGAAGAGTAAGTTTGAGCCAAGGCTCGTATGTATGTGGAAAAGCAAAGACTCAGGTCTTGAAGTATGACTGTCAGAGCAATCCTGCTTAGAAACCCAGGCCTTTCAACCATGGAGAAGGGAAATATAAAGGCTGGAAGGGCTGTTCTTCATCACATTTGAAGAGAGGTTATAATTTCTATAAGAAGACATGGAAGGAAAATAAAACTAAGGGATTTCTATTCTGCAACCAAGGGCAACTGTTGTGTTTCTATGTGCTGTAAAAGATGCAGTATGCATGCAAAGAAAGTAACAGAAAGGTTAAATATTTTCATGGTGTAACTCCACCAAAGACAAAGGAAATATCCCATCTAGCATATGGCTCCTTTGTTCTGAGCAGTCTCCAGAGTAACTTGATGTTCATGTGCACCTGCGTCTGATGGAAATAAACCTACATAGCTTCTGAGAATGAGGAGGGAGTGTCTAGAAATGCCAATGACACTCTGCAGTAAGATCTCAGGCAGTGTGTTTAATTGAGGGTTTTCAGCACCTGCAAATTCAGGACAAAGTTTGAACCACTGGGAATCCACATGAGGTGAGCCAGCACTAGAAGGATGCTCCTGTTAGACAAAAATACACTGACAGCATTTATGTAGTTTGGAGCAGAGGGTGAGAAGCAGTTTCTGGAAGTCCCGCAGGGGGCTGGGCCCACCCCAGTGATTAAATACTGACTGTGCACAGCCCTTCCTGGCCCTAGGAGAGTCTGTGTCTGAGACAAGGAGTAAATTCTGTGCTGAGCTACCTTGTACAAATCTAGATATTCTGCCCATGTTTCTCAAAGTGAAAATGCAAGTACTAAATATCTACCGTATGGTGGGAATCTGAACAAACTTCATGGGAAATAATCGTTTTCTGAACTCACAAAAGGCAGTGGATGTTCAGTGTGGCTTTGGGAAGAGAGCTGGGGTGAATTCCCCTCCATTCTGTGCAATCATACCTCTGCACTGCCTCTCCTTGGGACTCTCCAGCCTCAAAGTAAAAGCAGCACTCCTACAGGTCTATTTCACCTCTGCTGTCCTGCCTGATTCAGCCCACAGGAACAGGTTGTCTTCCTGTTTTTATCTCCTTGTCTTTCCCTTGTGATGGCAGAAGGCCAGAAGGCAGACACAGCTTTTTTTGTAAGTTCTCTGTCCTGAATGGACCAGTAGATTATTTTCTGCATGCCACTCCCCATATGTACAGGCAGCAGAATTTCTTCCAGAAACTGGATTAAGGTTTGTTTGCTCTCAAGTCACTGTATGTCAGCTTGAAGTTAAACTAGTTCCTGTGCCAGATGAGCCTGGGCAGTTACGGGGTGACTGGTTCTAGAGATCCTATCTCTAGGAGAGCATGATCACATAGGACAAGTAGCAAGTAAAGAGCAGAATCTTAGCCAGGTGTGTTCAGCAGCCCATCCAAATACATGTAGGCCTTGAAAACACACACTGAGGTCCTTACTGTCAAAGTGACCTAGAACTAAACTGTACCTATGGCATACAGATTTAATACTTCCCATAATCCATCCAGTGTCTTTCCTTTCCACTCTTGACTTTGGTCCTAATCTAAAACATCAGTGCGTTATCAATGTTACTCTCAGACTAAAATCAAAATGCAGCACTGAAACCAGCTAGTAGCTGGAAGAAAGTTAACTCTATCCCAGCTGAAATCAGGGCAGTTCCCATACGGGAAAAGTGCAAGAGTCTTCATAAAAAAATTATTCCTTGTTAGAAACGGGATATTCCCTTCAAGAAAATGCATTTACAAATGAGAGGCTTGAGAACGGAAGAGGGAATGGCACCGTATCTCACCTCTCTTTCCAGGCACTGACAATAAACATCCTTACAGCAAAGCAACCTTCAAACTTCACTTGTATAATTCCACAGGGTTTAAAACCTGTTTGTTAAGCTCTCATCACAGACACACTTCTCTCTTTCTATCTCCACCAGCTACAAGTAATCTCACACAGCCAGTTTACGTTGGACTGCTGACACTTTTGGAGCAGCAGCTCCTTGCTGTTCATGATGAGGAAGTAATTCAGCATGACAGATGCCAAATCTGACAAAATCTGAATCTGAGAACCTGGATCTCAGAAATCCATGTCCTGCCAAAAGCTGTAAAACATGGCTCAAGAATAACTCAAGAGCTTAAAACATGTAAAGAGATCAAGTAGGAGGGCAGATGCAGAAATGGTTTTCTGTGCTTAGGCTCTCGGTCTACTAGTTTGGGAAACTAACTCTGAGAGAAGATTCGTGGATGAGAACATTATCCTACACTGGGTATGTATATCTCTAGGAATCAATCCTGAGCATATTTTTTTTGAATGAAAGACAATAACCAGGCTGACAACCATGTAATCCTGCCACCGACCCTTGGTGAAAATCAAGTAGCTGGTTCTGGAAATTCCTAGAAGAAATCCAGGTGAAGTAGTTTGCTTCCCTGATATTTGTGTTGACATAACACCTGGCTTTTGTAGGCATTTAGCTTGCAATGCTGACAGTCATCAAGGCTTATACTTACGATTATCAGCAAGATAAAGTAGATAAAATTGTAGAAGGAATGGGCATCCATCACATAATACATGATCTCCACCCACCCTTCCAGTGTGATAACCTGCAGAGACAAACAACAAGAGAAACAGTAGGGAAGTGGGCTTCCAGAGTTCACTCCTCAGTGTATACAGGCAGATATTGGCAGGGCTGTTGCAACCCAAGGAAGGTGAGAAACAACAATTCATTTCAAGGAGGCCAAATTTCCATTCCAGGAAATCAGCATGGTACTGCTTGGTGACACTGGCATACTGTCAAAGCCTGTGAGATCATGCTAGCCCACAGCAGGAATATTTCATTAAAATAGTTCATTTCCCTGGATCACAGCAGGGAAAAAACCCGCAGCAGGTTTCTGTGCCCCTTGGACTGGACACTGCGTACAGCCAGCAGAAAAGAGAAAAGGTTTGAATTCTAGGTCCCATCTGCAACGCATGCTGGGAATTTCAAAAAAACCAAAATAAAATAGCCTCCTTTGCTATAGTGATCTGGACTGAAGGGAATACTGGTACAAGTTAGACTAAAGAGCATAGCTCATTTCAGCAAGAGCCTTGAACAGCTCTATGTCCCTCTTCATCTCAACCTTTATGTTCCATCTTCAGGAGCACCATTCGTGGTGGGCACTCTGTCTTTCTCAATAGAATAGTTACAAGGCCCTTTCCTCTCTGCTGCTGTATCTAACCCTGCAGAAACTGTCACAGGAGCACAGAAAGATTAAGTTGGAAAAAAGAAAACTTGCTTGAGCTGTGTTAGGAGGCGAACTTGATCTTACCTGAAATATCACAATCCAGGCATACCCAATGTTGTCAAAGTTGATGGCACCCTTGTGTGGGTTGGCATTGCCTGTACGGCACACATTGTAGTACTGGTTCCAGTTGACACACATGCCACTGATGTTGAACTCTTGCCGGACCGAGTTGTAGTAATAATAATCATCCTTGTCCAAACAACATTCATGGCCCCGCTCTTTCAGTGGGGGTATCTCATGACAGCCCATAATTCCATTGTCTCCTGACAGTGAGCAGATAAAGGGCATCTCATCATCTTCCTCAGGCTGGTAATAAGGGGGAAGGACAATGTCACCTTGTCTGCAAGGATAAAAAAACACAGTCATAAAGTTCCTGTAACAGACAGTTTCCCATCAGTGACACTAATGGAGCTGGATGCTCCCTGGATAGGGACTGCGTTGGGTAAGGGATTTCCAGGTTTGCCACCTCAAGACAGGGCTCCTGGAAAGCAGGACATTTCCAGGATGAGTCTCCAGTTTTCAGAGGTTTGCCTCCCATCAGATCACCCTAAGCCTAATTACACAATCTCCTTCTGATCATTCTCCCCATTAGCATCAAAGCTAAATTAGATGCAGTGATATTAAAGAAGTTCATCAGGCTTTACTGTGATGTGCTCATGTATGTAACTGTTGATGGACATGTTTTATAACATTTGGCAGTGAACCTTCTGTACTTCTATAAAATCAAAATCCAGCTCATGCATAATTAAAATTGCACAGCTCAGCCTTAAAATCAGGAAATGTGAAGATAAAATTGACTTAACCTTAACTATGACTCTTTTTTGACAGTTGGCATTATGGGTGCAATGTTTCATGACAAGTTCACAATAATGCAAGCACCTTCCAAATACATGAATAATTAAAATCATCTACGCTTGCCTAGCTGGAGATGAGCTAATGATCAGGAAAATGAAAGGTGAAGATTTAAAACTTTCCATTAAACTTTATCTGGCGCATTCCTTGCAGTGCCACAATACACAACTTTCACATTCTGTAAACGCAGACTTGTTCATTAAGTGTCATAAGAAAAAGACAGGTATTGATGCTGCGGAGGGACTCTTCATTACGGACCATAGTACAGGACAAGGGGTAATGGGTTAAAACTTAAACAGGGGAAGTTAAGGTTGGATATAAGGAGGAAATTCTTTACTGTAAGGGTGGTGAGGCACTGGAACAGGCTGCCCAAGGAAGCTGTGAATGCTCCATCCCTGGCAGTGTCCAAGGCCAGACTGGACAGAGCCTTGGGTGACATGGTTTAGTGGGAGGTGCCCCTGCCCATGGCAGGGGGGTTGGAACTAGATGATCTTAATGTCCTTTCCAACCCTAACTATTCTATGATTCTATGATGAAAAAGAAAAGAAAGTCTCTGATTCTAAACTAAGTGGAACTAAACCACAAAGACGTGTTGTAGCACATCCACATCACTGCTGATTTGGGTGCCTGCAGAATTTGTTTCTCTAGTAATGGTCAGCTAAAGATTTTCTAGTATCTGTCACTTTGTCAGCCACCCCCATTCAATTCTTGGTTACACTAACTCCGCATGGATGTAATTACACTCATTAAAGTAGTACTACCCCTCATTTACATAAAGGACAATCATCCTAAACATTCATTTTTCCTCAAGGAATATATAAACACAGTAAATGGATGCTTTAAGCAGCTCCTACTCTTCAACCCCACTGCTCTTCTGCAGATTATATTTTCACACTTTTTTTTTTTCCCAATTTGAGATGATCTAAAGCTTCAGAATTGTTTAATCAGTCTAAACTGCTCTACAGCTTTAGGGTTTTTTTAAGTAGTCTAAACTGATAGCTTGTCTGGGATTAGTATATGGTTTTAAGAAGATATTTCAAAGCCTGAGATCTGCTAAAGCCAGAAAGTCAACAGAAGGAGCTGTGCCCCAGAACTCATGCTCTCAGCTCCAGCAGGGTAATCAGAGAATACATAACAGGCAGAAGCATTTCCACCCCACTGCCTGCTTTGCAGGTTCTCCCCTGACCTCCCCAGAATAAACCTCAGATACCTGTAATCAACCCCTGTGCAGTCCAGGCTCTTTTTGCCAGAACTGTGCCCACATTTCCCCATGGGGTTTTTTTGTCCCATTCAAGCAGCCATTTTTCACTTTCAGATGCTCTCACTTCTACTAACACAACTGTGGGATACCTCTGCCAACAGCCAGAGAACCAGGCAGCAGAAGACAAGAGAGTAGGGAAGAGGAAAGAGAAATGTCCCTGGAAGAAAGGAAGGAGACATCATCTCCCAGGCACTCACATTGTGAAGTTCTCCTCCATGAAGCAGCGGTTGCGGAGCAGCCCAGCCCACAGCTGCACCCCAATGATGCCGAAGATAAAGAAGACAAAGAAGCAGAGAAGAAGGACATTCCCCAGCATGGGCAAGGTGTCCAGGAGCAAGTTCACAAGGATGCGCATGCCTGCAGGGGAAGAAGAGAACCAGAAGGAGCAAGTGTTGGGCGGTGAGAGAGAGAAAGGGAGAAGAGGAGAAAAGGAAGAAAATGAAAAATTAGAACACACACACAAAAAGCCACATGAAGATAAAAGCAGCATCAGAAATTAATTCCTGCCCAAACCAGGCTACATTCATGGTTGTCGCCCTTTCTTGTCCTAACCTCTACTGACAGGCAGCCAGCAGACCTGCTATGATACCATGATCTCTTAACCCCAGGCCTTTGCAGCAGCAAGAAGAAAGAGGAAAGAGAAAAGCTGGTACCATCAGCTATCTGGCCAATAGCCTTCTCTCCCACTGCCCTGCAGACGGCAAGAGAGTGACAACTGCCCCATCAACAACACCCAGACGTGTGCAGCACCTCAACAGCAGCATCTTCAGATGTCTTGGACTGAAAATCATCCCAGTTAAACTGTATGCTGAAACCTGTGAGAATTGCACCAACAGACCAAACCAGCCTGCATAATGGAATCCAGCACACATAAACAGACATAAGTTGGTTTTCTCAGTGACAGTATCATCAGTGGACAAGCCATGGGGACCACGCTCTCCTCTCTAGGCTAGTCCTCCCTCCACAACAGTGCTGAAGCACACAAGTAGCAGGCAAAGCCCAAAATGCTGTCAGCACAGCACCTCTGGCCAGAGCAAATGTTTCCAAACCCCTTTTACTTTTAATTACCTAATTGATTATTTCCATGGTTTTATTTCTCCCCTGGCACTCCAGCTCACACAGCTGCAAGTAGGGGTAAGGATAGGCTCCTTTCACTGTGGAGCTAATGACTTTTCCTCTGCTCTCCAGGGATGGCAAAAGTCTAGAAATCCTCCTGAGCATCATTGTACTGCCTTTACCACAGCACACACCTCATGTGGCTGTCTCTCGCGCCTCCATGGAGATCCCTCTCCTGGGGGTCCAGGGAATTTCTTCACTGAACATGTTCCATGTAGACCAGCAAATAATTAGCTAATTAGGTATTTATAACCAGTTCGTTACTTCAGATGGCAGTGGAAGGGGAAAGAGGAGGAGAAGATAAGTTTAGGATTCTCTGACAGCCCTTTGAGGCACAAGTTAATCCCCCTTGTGTGCCCAGTATCAAGTAATTAGCCACACAATGCTCTGCATTACGCTCTATCTCTATTTTCCGGGCTGCTCACACTGTAAAGAGTGGAGGGAAGTGGTACCTGCTGAAGGCATGCAGGCATGGGGTGCATGCATACTGAAAGGCTGCTCAACAGGCTGCCCAGAGAAGCGGTGGCTGCCCCATCCTGGCAGTGTTCAAGGCCAGGTTGGACTTGAGCAACCTGGTCTAGTAAAAGGGGCCCTTGCCCATGGCAGGGGCATTGGAACTGGATGACCTTAAGGTCCTTTCCCTACAAAAGGAGAGGGAGAAGAGTGCCTGGTGGGGACTGGTTTAGTTTAAGAGGGAATGTTCTGGGGGCAGATTGGGGTAGCAGAGACAGGAGTGGGGGTAGGTGATATGTAGGAAAGAGAGATGCTTAATGTCAGTTACATGGGTTCATGAAGGAAAAGGAATTATGGCATTAACTCTAAGGCCAGACTGTGGAGCAGCAGCTAAGCCCTACTTGCCTGACTGCCCAGCTGTGTCACCAATCACCAGTTAAGGCATTTTCTAGACAGCACGTCGGGAACTGAGCTGTGCAGGGGCAGAGCTCCAGCTGCTCGCTGGGGATCACGGACATGCCATGAGTCACTGACAGCTTCCTGATCTGCTACCACACAAAGCCCAACAGCACAGCCACAGTGCCCTGCTGCCTATTGCTGTGACCTGCCAGGCTCTGGAGCAATGCTCTGCGCAACACTTCGGCTTTAAGGCCACACAACCTCACTGCAGTGCAGCATGTTCCCAGCATTAATGCTGCTTCACAGCACGAGCTTGGTACTTCCCATAAACTGTCCTGGTCAGTATGTTAGGGAGAGCCAAGTGACACAGGAAGCTGTGCCAGCAGTGCTGCAAGAGGGGATGATGCTTTTCAGATCAATTGATGCTAGCTTTATCTCAGAGCAGAGGTAATGGGAAGAATGAGACTGCCCTTATGCTGAAGCACAGAACACGGAGAACAGACATCCCCACCAGAATATTACAGAAAACACACTTGTTGGATCAGAATTTGCAAAAATTGATTTTGTCCATGTTCCAAGGGAAGAAAAGTAACTTGCAAAACTTGCCTGCCTTTTCCTTGGAAACTTCCTGCCTGCCCATACATTCCCCGTCCTGATTCCAAATAGCTCCACTGATGGTACAGGATCTCTATCCACAGCTTCAGGATCACAGCAATTGCCCTCATGCTTGGCCTTCTTGGGGTACCTGGGCTCATAATCCAAAATCTGTCAGGTGGCCCTGTGCCAGGCAGGTGACCACCAGGAAGGTGGCGCTGGCACTTGGCCCCTGTTCCACATCACAAAGAATTTCAGCATTGGTGGGTTCCATTTCTAAATCCAAATGAAACCAAACTTTTAGAAAATCTCACAGTTAAACAGTCACCCTTCTGTGCACAGTGATGCTGACCCTGCATTTTGAGACTGGCTCTACCAAAAGCAAGAATGCTGAAGCTCCACCCATCCAAACATCGATTGCAATTCTTCTATGGGCCAACCACCTCTAAAACAAATACATTATTTCATTTTGTACAAAGTCTTTTGTTTTTTGTAAGCAATTGCTCTGGAAACCCATTTTCACCAGAGGCATCAGTTTTCCATCAAATGGACCTTCTAACTGAGTTTGCCCAGTTAGTGAAGTACTTGAACTCTACTCACTCATCCAACTTCCATATAGATGAAAGGCACAGTGTCAATACAACCTTTGTTCTCTCCACCGTTAGCCACCCCAGCTGCCTGCAGTACTCATGCCAGAGTCCCTGAGCACCCTTTGCTATTTCGTTTTGGCAGTATCCTTCCTGCACCTCTGCCAGCTCCAACAGACACTTTGGGGGGAAGCCCTCACAGCCTCCCAGTCCCCTCTTGGGCCAGCAGCCCTGTGTGGGTCTGCCCATTGCTAGGGCTTTGCAGTCCCACTGACCCAGGAAGGGGTGGGCTGGTCCAGCAGCCACACCAGTGCATCTGCCGGGGGTATCCAAGGAAGGACCCTCACTGCCAGGTGTCTGAATGCTGTCATGGGCAGGAGGGGGTGGTCCCCACTCTGGCAGGACCCACAGAACAGTGTATTTTGTGGTCTGCACAGCCTCACTGGGATCGGGTTGCAAACAGTCTCTGATTCCTCAAGCCCTCACAAGGTGTAGGGAAAATGGGGAGCAAGGCTGAAAAGCACAAGGATAGAGGCTGATGATTTACTGTAGGCTCTGGTGGCTGAGATATCAAGGTCTGTAAAGCAGCTGTGGGGCAATGGAATTGGGCAGAAAGCATATTTCTCAGCGCAGCTTTGGGAATATCCTGCCCTGGAGAACTGGGACACCTTTCTTTTCCAGGGGGCCTTCACCAGACAAATCGCCATCCACAGCAACACTAGTGCATCTTGCATTACAGCTTCTGGAAGGTGCTGGAACCTCTGCAAAAGGTTCTTCGGCGAAGTCCTGCTGCAGCCTCCTTCCTGCCTTCTGCCCCTTTACTTTTCTCTTGCCATGCCTACATCTTCTCTCTGCCTCTGCACTGTTCTGCAGCATACGTGTACACATCTCCCAGCCTCCCCCCCGCCTCCCACTGCTGCCTTTCCCCACATCCCCATTTGTCCTCCATCACTGGCAGAGCAGAAGCCACGCTGGCTCACAGCAAGGAGGGAAAATGAAAGGGACAATGACCTTTTCTGAAGCAGCCTTTGAAAAAAAGAGACATTCCCTGAGAAGAGAAAGGAAGAGGGTCTTGGGCAGTCTGGAGGAAAATCAGGGAGGGAGAGCATTGATGAAGCAACATTCAGCAACCAAACAGGCTCCCAGGGCATCAAATATGAAAAGATTTTGGTCTTCACGGGGAAGAAAAGCTAGAAACATGAACTATTCATGAGTGCCAGGTGTGGGCTCTGAAAGGCCTTTTCCCTACTCATCCTTACAAGGAGACCAGGGCAAAGGAGGAAACTGAATGGCATCGGCTGGGGGCATCCAAGGAAGAATCCTGATGAAATGGTGCTCAGATTATGCTTCCCTGCTGCTCACCCATCCCCTTGGGCAAGGGGTGGGGAAGGGTGCTAAACAAAACTTATGGTAGAACATCCTGCAGGAGCGAAGCCACGAGCACAAGAGACACGTTCCCTGCTCCAACAGAGCAGTGCACATTGAGGGGAAGGCACACCACAGGGATAAGAAGCAGTGGGGGGGTCAGAGGACTGTCAAGGAGCGAGCTACCAGAGGGAGGCACAGGGCTGAGCAAAGCCAAAAGCCTAAGCAAAGTCACTGAATGCTCTCCTGGGTTCAGGCAAAGCAAATCCTCTTGTCTCACCCTAACGGCATCCAGAGGCCCTCTCTGACAAACTGTGAAGATGATGGAGTGAGCACAGGTCCCTCCAGACGCTTGCCATCAACCCCAATTACCCTGGCCATCACAGCTAAGCAGACTCACCTGGCATGTGGGAGGGAAAGTGAGGTGAACAGCCAGGGCAGGGCTGGGGAGGAGGTGAGCTCGAGGCAGCCAGACCCAGCAGTACAGTGCAGTGCATGTGTGCCCAGAGCCTTACCACTACTCACCCTGCTCCTGCTCAGCATCATTCTGCCACTTCCCCTTCTCTCCAACTGCCTCTTTCCAAGAGCCAGGACCAACAGCTAAGCTAATTTACTCTCTAGCACTAATCACCCTGAGATCTGAATGGAAGACTGGCTCAGGAGAGGGTGAGAAACCTCATTCTTTCTAGTTTCTTATAGCTCACCCACCTCTGAGTCCTCTCCAGCTCTACAGTGAAAGACAAAGCTAATGTGCAGAGTCAAAAGGAGATAGCAGTTTGAGGCAATTGTTCCTTTGCTTAGAGTAAACCAGATAAAATAAAACAGAAATTCTCTGCACCCATT